GATCACAAGCATTTTGTAGGGTTAATTATCAGTCAGACGACTTTTGAGATGGTTTTCTTTTTGAAAACTATCCATTATAGTTGAAATATATCTGTCGGTGAATGGCAGGACAAGAATTTGCGAGTATGATCAAGTTTTGAATGTTGTGCTGCCAGTTTACGAAGAGTCTCGTAGACGGATAACTGCTGGTGATGCAGTAGCACACAGATCTAGTCCTACGACACTCAGATCCCCATTTCTACGTGAGCGGGGGAACGGTTCATGGGCGAAATGGATGTCAAACCTGGATCGTTCAAAATTAAAAACTTCCATGGTATGATTGCTTACCGAACGGCGCGCACCCTTCACGATATATGTCAATCACGTCTCATAAACCGTTAATGCCCAGCTCTCGCTACGCTCGGGCCCACGCTGTTCTTCGAAGATTTCTCAGAAACGCTTAGTTATAACGGACGCAAAAACCAAAACACCGATCTGCCGCTTTAGATTTGTTTATTGTTACACCAACATATAAAAGGAATAAGCGAACTAAGGTCTGTAAACAAATATTACAATAATAAATCGTTATATTACTTCTGACGATATTTTACTCTTCTTTCTGAACAGCGACCGATGAGACGATGACTGTCGTATTGATGCCTCCGCGAAAATCGGGGAAGTTGATTTTGAGCAAACAACCAAGAATTGATCGTTCAATCTTCAACTCCATTGACACTCCCCGGCAAAAAAGGATCCAACCCTTTTTTCCTTCACGACCAATACACGTTGACTTGGATGCCATTGCGAGAACCTGGGTCACACGGACAGAGCTGAAATGGAAAACAAACAGAAAAGCCAACACACCACAAGCATACCCACAGCACAATCTCACACATCGCTGACGACCTGCGCCTCCAGACAGAGACCTCCTCTTGACATCTTGCAACACAATCGCCACTTGCTAGAATGACTCTTGCAGAATGCAACGTGACCATAGCACCACCTCACGATACTCTACGCACATCCTCTTATCTACTCACTATCAATTACCACTGAAATCGCTTGTCACTCATTCTGCCTCAGTTCTAGTAGCGGTGACGCATGCGAGCCTCAGTCGTTTACACTCTTTCTCCCCGGCGTGTCGGACCGCAGCTAACAATTATCTCCGTGTGCATTTCATTCTCAGCAATAGCCTAGCCTCCCCGGCGTATACGACCCATCTGCTGTCTCTAACATCAATCAATTCATTCACGGATGTAGAAGACTCGAAACAACTTCAGAAGTAATCACGACGAAAATTTTAACAAAATTACGCAATAACAACAAGATACGAAAACAACAAGTAAACACAATGAATCCATAAACACCAATTGATATGACACACCACACATATATACAAATAGTACACACAACCTCGCGGATCATGTCTTGATGGAATTCCTTTGAAGAATTGCAGGACTTACACCAGTACGCCTACAACCCTTCTCAGGTTGACGATTGTAAGTTGTGGAATGTCCGGACACAAACAAGATTAACCAACAATTACGATAATTGGAACTCACACAACTATTTAACACAAACATATGTACAATCACTACATCAAATGTTGTGGATTCTGGCATGACAAACTACCCTTGAAGAACTGTAGGACTTACAGCAGTACGCCTACATTCCTTCTCAGGTTGATGATCCAAGTGGAAGTCGTCCGGACACAAACAGAATTACCAACAGCTAGATGACAGATGATATCAATTCAGTATATACAATATGAACATATGTACAAGATCATACACCAAGCACATTGGACTGCTCATTGATGCGCTACCCTTTGAAGAATTGTAGGACTTACAGCAGTACGCCTACAACCCTTCTCAGGTTGACGCCCTAGGTTGGAAAATCGTCGCAGAGTTCATTTGCTGACTTCCTTCTATGAGCTAAATCCTCAAATCTGAACGGTAACACGCCCATGTCATTGTATCGTAGAATATAGATGACGAACAAACACACGACATATCTCATCAACCAAGTGTAGAAACAGAGTAATTTACACCAAAGATAATAACATTCAATTAGTAACTTGAAACTAGAAATGCCTTTATTCATGCAAGTCAATTTAACAATTACTCTCTCGTTTACACTTGGCTTATTCTCACTAAACTGAGCAATATCTTTCGTCTTTTCAAACGCACCAATACTATCATAGTCATTGCAAAAGATACTTGAGTTGATGGGCATCTGTTTCATTGTGGATGAAAACACCAACGATGACTGAGTGACACAAGGTGATGAACTTAGTGGTGGATCAGAAGCTGTTCTTGTTCGGCTCTCAGATAGTTGTCCAACTGCAAGATTACCACCACTGCTGTCTTTCACTACTAGTTCGGGTTTAGCACTATCATCTGATGATAGGTGGGCTACACGCTGATCAATTACACTGACTGTCTCACAAGTATGCACACCTTCTGGAACTGCATCTGCGTTCAATTCTACTTCACGTTGTAGTTGTACAGAACCTTTATTTAACTTAGCAGTAGTAGGCATATCCCTCATCTCATAATGATCAACCAAAGACAACTGTGAAGTATCATGATCATTATCACGAATATTCACTTTACCGTCAACTTCATCATTTTCAAACTCTTTAATAACAGAAGTAGACAATTTTGGTTCCTCCTCGCAAATCATAAAAGGTTTTATAACTTCACTCTGACTAGTAATACCTTGTAAACTTGTAGGGTCAGAACTGCACTCTGAAGCAGTAACTCTATTCTGTGACACTCTATTCAACAATGGCTTACCAGTTGCAACTACAGACTTCTTCACCGCACCGTTATCGTCACACAATTCGGAGTCAGGCCTGGAGTTTACATTTAGCTTATCACTGAACTTGCTCACGGGTTCACAGTTCACTTCTGTATGCACCTCTTGCAAACGTGTAAAACACAACCGTGTTTGTCTTGCATCTTGTAACTTATCTGTTGAGGATGTACTACGAAACCTGTTACACTCACTAGGTCTATATGCATTACTAGACATCATGGAGCCTTCTCGATATCCACCTCTCTGAGGCCTATTCGTCATCAATGAGTGCGTTTTACCCTCAGACTGCTCTATTCTAGGGGTGAGATATAATAGACTGGCGAACTTGCTCATAGATTGATTGACACTATCCTTTACCAGTTTCAGGATATCATCAAACTTTGGCTCGATACCCTCATCCTCCATACGGGAGCTCATCTTCACCCACTTCCTTTGCAGTCGAGTAGGTAGACGTCTTGCTATTACTTCTAGTATAAAACTCGAGTTGAGGTCACTCGTGCGATTCATCGAAATCATTCCATTCTTGTAAATTAGCAAATTATCTAAAAACTCAGTGAGTGCCTGGGAGTCATCCTGTAATTGACCACCATTACCCTTAACAGCCTCGAATAATTTCCCTGCAATCATCGAAGGTCTTCCAAACCTTTGACGTAATATGCTCATAGCCTCAGCGTAGCCCTCTTTTGGCTTCATAAACTTACAGCACTGTATAGCTCTTGCAGCATCTCCAGTGCAATATCTCATCAAATACATTAACTTCAATTCATCATTTAATAAAATACCACTCAACATGATCTCAAACTCCTTTACAAATTGTAAATAATCAGCCGGGTTTCCATCAAAACACCGTGGTTCAAATTTAGGGAGTTTGATGTTCCTATTATCCCTGAACGGCGAAACAGTAACATCAACCATGTCATGCTTAACATCAGACACATCGTTACAATTAACAGACAAGTCACCATGACTTACTTTCCTGTTTGCATCCAAGACACTCTGTCCCTTCTTTGACCCAGGCATTGTTGAACTTGACCCAATTCCAAAAACGTTCCAGATATTGCTTGTTCAAAGAGGACTTGACCGGCACCAGGAAAGATGAACGGCGACTATCCAAACTTTCACCAACTGTTTGAATCCGCCAGATCTGTTTCTATCGTCAGAAACTGTCAATCACGTCTCATAAACCGTTAATGCCCAGCTCTCGCTACGCTCGGGCCCACGCTGTTCTTCGAAGATTTCTCAGAAACGCTTAGTTATAACGGACGCAAAAACCAAAACACCGATCTGCCGCTTTAGATTTGTTTATTGTTACACCAACATATAAAAGGAATAAGCGAACTAAGGTCTGTAAACAAATATTACAATAATAAATCGTTATATTACTTCTGACGATATTTTACTCTTCTTTCTGAACAGCGACCGATGAGACGATGACTGTCGTATTGATGCCTCCGCGAAAATCGGGGAAGTTGATTTTGAGCAAACAACCAAGAATTGATCGTTCAATCTTCAACTCCATTGACAACATACCTTCCTCCTATCCCGTAGAATTAAACACTAAGGTTCAGCTACCATTGATGGGCAGTGTTGCAGACCACGACAGCATGTGATTTAGCAAGAGTATAGAAGACACATCTGTGTAACGTACAAATTATGTATCTTTGATATACTGAACTAGGCATGTCATACGTTTACGGCACTGACTAGAGCGGTGTAACTGACGGCATTGACATTGCTAAGCTATCCAAATAACCTGGAATAGACGTGTGCAAATTCCAGCTCAGTCATAATCCTTTCATTTTGAATGACTTGCCAACATGTCTCACAACGTCAGCATTACAGTCGTCGAGTTTATATTCAGTCTGTGAACATTATTCCTTATTTTATTTTATTTATTTATTTTTGATTGCAGCTTGATTCCACATCGTATTTTTGGTACAAGTATGGAATTTTCAGCATGGATATCGGTAGCCCAAATTTCGCAGGCCGACCATAGATATCAGGTGTGCGTCGGCCAAGGCTCGAACCTCGGACCATTTGCATGGTCGGCGAGAGTCCTAACCACTGTGCTTATAATACCGACAAATGATTCACAGGACTCCTAAATATGATATGGGCTTTTTTACCTAGCCGTTGTATTCTGCGATCATAGATTTAGTCAAAGTAGGCTGATTCTAGGTAACGGAGTTAACATCGGGAATAAAAAGTATACTTATTTCGAGACATGCGTAAACTTAAGCCTTACAAATAGTTACCAGTTAGCATTTATCCACACTTTCACCTATACAGAGACTGAATTTTCAAATGTTCACATTTATTTTGACGATCAGCCTGGATTGCCTCTGTTTCTTTATTTACTGAAAATGAATTAAATATGTTAGAATGTACTAAGCTGGTTTCCCTCACTATTGGACTGACTGAGCGCGCTTAATTCTCCGACCTTCAGCCTTCTACTTAGTGGAAGTGTTATCACCAAAATGACTAAAGAAAAAGCAGGTTTCTTAACTCCAAAGGCAATAGCTAACAGAATCAAAGCCAAAGGTCTGCAAAAACTACGATGGTACTGTCAGATGTGTCAAAAACAATGTAGAGATGAGGTAGGTTTTTGGTGCATTTATTGATAAATTCCAGAACGGATACAAATGTCACACAATGTCTGAGTCTCATCACAGACAAATGAAGTTATTTGCCGAGGATGGTGGGAAATTCATCAGCAGTTTTTCGTCTGAATTCCTAAAGGGCTACCTTGACATACTGCGCCGTCAGTTCGGTGGGAAACGCGTGCATTCTAATGTTGTTTACCAGGAATACATTAAAGACAAGGAGCATATACACATGAACGCCACACGATGGCACACACTTACAGGGCTGTGCATGTGGCTTGGGAAACAGGGTATTTGCAAAGTGGATGAAACTGAGAAGGGATGGTTCATTGAATATATTGATCGTGATCCAGAGAAAGAAAAAAGGCAGGAAATGAACGAACGGTTGGAAAAAACAGAAGATGAGATTAATAGAAAATTTCTAGGTAAATCTTATTCCCCCTAAACGCATATTATTTGATAGAACGCCAGATAGAACAGAATTTGAGCAAGGTTGAACAAGTTGAGGGTCCCTTATACACTCCTCTTCTTCGTGCAAATGAAGATGAACCAATACGGTTGGGGATATCATTGTCTCAGAAGAAGCCGCCACCCGAAGCAGTGGACGATAGTGCTAGTCAAAATCCAGGTGCCTCGGAAGAAAAAACTCCAAGTCTCATGACGTTAGGTCCAAAGAAGGAAAAACCTGTAGTAAGCGGTCACATACCATTTAATATCAGTTGTTATCACTTCAGTTTAATGAAGTCGTAGTTCACTGCATTTTGACAAGTGAATTTTTTGTTGGAGCTGTGTTTTAAGCAAGTATTCTATTGGTTATTTTAATTACTTCGTCTTTTAGACAATAATGTTAATACCGCTGATTCACATCAGGTTGAAGCCTTAACAGTCTGATGTTTTGTACGCTTTAACTTTCAGAACCCTCTTTTGCTCGCAGAAAAAAAAGCACGTGAGGAGAAGTCCAAATCCGTCGTAGGGAAAAAGCAGGATTCACGTACTACAACGGGAGTTCGTCGGCGTGCTTTAGATGAGCTGATGGAAAAAGAAGAAGCTTTTAAAGACAAACGAAATCGAAGGGACTATTGGATGACAGAAGGAATTGAAGTCAAACTGATCAATCGTAAACTACCTGATGATCTTATCTGGAGACATGCAACAGTTATAAAAATGCTGGATAACTATACGGTATGTTTATGTGTTGTACTTTGCAATATTTTAATTTGATATACCAACATTATGTTCGTTCTTGTGAAGAATAAGTGTTTTATATTCTAGTTTTTACTGACATTGTTTTCAGTACTTTCTGATACATTCTATACTTATAGACCTAGTGTTAAATTTCGCGGGTAGATGGTTCATTTATTTAATAACTCATCTTCGTAGTAAAATCATATGTGCAAATATTGTTTTTGTGACTACTCCATCGTCCATAACTGTGAGACGTGGTCGTTAGGAGAGGAGGACTTGGAGAGGCTAGCTATACCTGCTTTCTATTGGATTTAGTTAAAGATGGCAAGCCAGTCAGTGAAGTTACGAAACCACTTCGATTTAGGTACCTAGACTACGTGTTACGCGTGCGGAACTACCGCTGTTCTCGACGTGCAGTATTAACTGACATCGGGTTGAGTTGGAAAACGCGTTGACGGTAGTTCGACCGAAACGCGACATCGATCTGTGAAGTCTCTGACTGTTGGTTTTAACCTTGAAGGTGGTGTAGAATGTGTGGTTAGGATCTCTGGGATGCTAAGGGCCGATGGTAAGAGACTTGGTGGTATGGTTCAAAATTGTTCTCCATGGTGCAAATGCATTTACTCTTTATAATCTCGCAGATGTATTTGATCTTCACCAGTCTCTATATACTTATTGTTCCTCCTGTAGATTTCAGTTGATTGTAGTTCCATAACGACCTTAATTTACCAGTTAGCTTTTTCTGAACTTCAAAGTTAAGTATAGTTCCTTATATTTCTAATCAACTTAAAAATTTACATGGGAGTTGGATTTGCCATCCTCCGAACAAACAAGAAATAAGGGGACATAGATGTACCGACACAAGAAGAAACAAGCGTTTGGCAGATAAAGCTTTAATGAGGATTTGTGGAGCTTTTCATAGCCTAAAAGACGTAAAGTGTACTGTACATGCACCGATCTGAACAGTGTCACTAAGTGTTTCAATCATTGGTTTTTAGCATCTCATGAACTCCAATGTACTCCATTCCGTTGCTCAAACCAACAGACGATGGCTTAATAAGTTTCCTTTTCGGTCTGACAGTTCATTTCTTTTCCTGTCAACTTCACTTGTTGCAACTTCAACTGATGAATATCTGTTCAAAGTTCTTCTCTGACTTGTCTGTTGGGTTTCATGAAAAACTTAAGGTTCAATTTGGGCCGTGGTAACAGGCTTCGAAAATACAGGTAATTAAACAGTTAACAAGATGGGCAGGCCTATTGCCATCCACAATGTTTTTAAAAATGGTGGAATAAAGTAGTGATCCCCGTAAAAAGTGGGTTAGCCAAATTATAAGATGGATAGAAACGTATTTCACCAACCTTAGTGATGACGTCATGAGAAATAGAAGCAGTATTTTTTAGATTAATACTTTTCTTTGTGGTCAGTGACGAGTTCAGGAAGTTTAAAAGGAGAATAAGACAGTGATGGTTCCTACGGGTGTGAGGTTATTTGTGTATTAAGATTGGTAGGAAAAAGTTGGTAATTTGTGAAACAGTGGCTGAGAAAGATGCATTAACAATTTTTCCGCATGTGATTTGATAGACAGTAGAAAAAACATGTGACAATTCAGCCTGATGGAAACTACTTTTAATTGCGTACCAGTTTAACATATGAGCTCAATTCTGAAGTGGGATGTAGGTAGCGTGTCACAAAAAAGTGCAGTAGATTCCGGCAAATTTCACCACAAGTAAAGAATGAGGGTTCTTTGTAAAGTTCTTTTGTATATGGGAGTAAATCTAGGACGCTGTGGTAGTATGTAATTCCATACTATTGATTAAATTAGATATGGCATAATGGTATGGTATTATTAACAGGATGGTATTTTGAACTCAACTTATTGTTCACAATCTCGTCAAAGGTAACTTCAAAACTTGGATTCTCCCCTTCTATTCTTAAGACACCTGCATGTTCAAGATATCTAGAACAGATATGGGATCATTCTTATGTATATGTTCGGTTTCTGTTAGACAAAGGACACGTTCTGCATGTGGAAGACATGTAGCGAGAAATAACCACTAGATAGTCACATGGTATGTAACAACAAGCCCACATGACTGCTGATGTCTCTCAGTCTTACACAAGCGCTTCATTGCTGATGACTGAAAACTTCGAAACTTGTTCACTACCTGTTTGCTCACTTCTTAATTATAATGAAGGCAGTGCTCCTTTCTAATTAATAATTAATAATAATAATAATAGAGACTTTATTTCACTGTACAGGCTATCGTGAGGACACTGGAATGTCATACGAAAATCAAAGTGGATCAAAGTCACGTACAAACAGTGATTCCAGAACCCTCGTCAACTGTTCTTGTCGTCAATGGCGCCTACAGAGGAGAGTACGCTACGTTAGAGCAGGTTGATAAAGAAAAGAACACATGTGAAATGACTATAATGACTGTAAGAATTTGTTCAGAACCCTATATGGTTCCTATTTGCACTATTATTTTTTACCTAGTTGCTTACGTTTCGAATATTTCTTAAGTGATATCCAGCGAGTTGTTTTAGTGGGAAAGCATTATGGTACTGTCCAGCATTTAACATTCGAACAATGCAACATGTTTACCTATTGAACTTCTGCTGACTTCAGAGAGATAAGTGTACTGACAATATGTAGTCGTCTAAATTATATACTTGTCAAAATAAATTTCAGATATGGACGAAAATACTATAATTTCAAAGTGTTAAAAAGTCAAAATATAACAAGGGGGGACTAAAGTAATAGATGTTGTGAAGAAAAAGAAGAAACATCGAAGCAGAATAACATGAGTCTGTTTTATTTCTCAATTCCTGTCAACCTGCGTACGGCCTATATTATTTAATACAATGACTTATAATACAGTTTCAACACATTCCCTATTATCAATAGGAATCACTTCTGCAATGAAGAATGTTGTGAAAACGTCTCAGTGATATGAAACATATGGATGATAAGTTTTCTTAGTAATACAACATATTATCAGAAAGAATTTTCGTGAAGAACTGTTAAGCTTGCAACATTAAAAATAAGGCATTGCTTAACGAGTTTGAAACGGCAGTAACAGTTGCTCAATGAGAAAACTAAATACGGCAAGCAGAACACAGAAAATTGAATCCAGTATGAAAGTCGGACAAAACGAAGTAATGCAACTGGAAAGCAAGAGTTACTGAGGAGGATGTTGCTAAGATGACTGAAGTCCGATGACATTCGGTCTCCGTAGTTTTATGGAGATAACCTCAGCAAACCGAAGATTTTAGGTGTTTCGTCTGCTAATTAGTTTAAGTGCTCCTAAAACCTCTACTCGGTGACAGGAAAACAAACGAAAAGTAAGCACCATGTCAGATTCTTTGAACATGTACCGGAGAGCCTTTAATTAGGGTGGTCGAGTAGTTTGTTTTAGGACCATTTAAAATAATTAATAGAAGAAACACCTAAAATCTTTGGTTTGCTGGGGTTATCGCAATAAAACTACTGAGACCGAATTTATGTGCCCAGAAGGATTCCGTCGTCGGACTTCAGTCAAACTGATGACACCCTCCCCAGTAGTGCTTTGCTTTCCACTTGCATTACATCGTTTCGTTTGACTTTCACACTGGACTCAGATTTTCGATTTCCTGTGTTCTGCTTGCCGTATTTTCTTGTTGCGGAACTGTTACTGACCTGTCAAACTGGAAGAATAGAATTTTAGAACAGTAGTTGAATATGATTTCATATTTTGAATTTATTTGATATAACACAGTGATACACCTTAATTAACTGGAAAATGCTTCGAGCACAATCTATTGGTTATAATAGTATCAATAGCAACAATATGTTCACACGACACCTTAACTTGCTTTATATAGCTTATATTCTCTCAGTTTTCAAGAAGTAATTTTCCATATGTCTGGAAAGGTATTGCGTCATTTCTTTTGTATGTGTCTGGTGTTGACTCAATGGGCAGAAGCTCAGTGAATTGACCTCTCTCTCCACCTAATAATGATAGTAATATTTTGGTGCTTGCATACTCAGAAACATTTATTTGCCACGCCAAGAACTATTTCAATAACATATAAAATGAATACTGCTACAGGGATTCGAAGTGATTTGATCTCTCCCCTCACGTTTGAAAGCATTTTCCGTTATTGGTAAACGTTTCCAACCGCTGTATTTTAACATATTTCCTTCTTTCAGGGTCTTTGCATGGGTCGTCTTGTCAAAAATATCTCTTTGGACGATGTCTGCAAATTGTCGGAAGCTCGACGAGAACAATAAGAACATTCAGACGTTAATTATTACAAAGACTTTCGTTTATTAACAATGTACAGTACTTTCAAATATTATTAATATATACTTATATAGTGTTATGGTTTACATAATATAACAATTGAGAAAATTTATTTTAAGGTAGTTATGATGAAAGGTGCACTGGTTTTCCAACCCAAATTACTTTGGTTAACAGTTGGGTTTGAAGTTGATGTGTATGTGAGGCGGACCATTCTTTGTTTTTGTCAGTCCTCTACTTTTATAGTTTGCTTGTGTTGAGATTACTGAGTGATTATGGTGCGAGATCTGGCATGCAGTTTTAGATTGGGCAGTTTGTGCGCTGCACTTGAGATATACATTACACTGTTCAAGCCACTGACAATCGGCATAAAATTCAGTTTAACAGAAATCTTTGGGTTAATTCAATTTTAATTTCCTCTGCTATTACTCACATAATTGGATATTCAAGACGTTGAGATAATTCCGACAGTCTTATTGTGAATTCATGTAGCAGCGTCTACCGTTCTTAGAGAACACAATCTATGTCTACTGTCACTAATCTACGCAATCTGAATAATGTCCCCGTTACCTTTCATCCAAATATAGTCGAGAGTGACAAATTACCATCAGATCTATCTCGCTGCTACGGTACTCTACGGGTGGCTCGAAAATAGTTCAATCAATGTTACAGTTAAGCAACTTTATCTTATTCCACTATTCGTTTGAAATATGTGGCCCTTGAGAAATAATTTTCCCCCATGAGGTGTAATAAAAGCCGATTTAGATACCACGAATTAACGCAGAATGTCAACTTTAAGCCAACAAACAACTAAATAATCTTTAAACGAAGTGGCTGCACTTAAAAAAACATTATAGAACTAAAAAATGTGCTTAACGACATTAAATAGTTGCTCCCTTACGTAATCTGAAAATCCATTTGGTGTATATTAATGATGTGTGAATCTCTTGCCACTTGTAGTTTGCCGACGCACACCTGATATCTATGGTCGGCCTGCGAAATTCGGGCCACCGATATCCATGCTGAAAATTCCATACTTGTACCAAAAATACAGTGTGGAATCAAGCTGTAATAAAAAAAGGAAGTTCAATCGTCAGTACACCAAGATCTAATGACTTCATTTTTTAAAATTTAATGTGTGGGGATGCATTATTGTACGGTGTTTGTGTATGCTGATCTGTCTGTTTTCGACATAGAACTTTGCACAAATGTGCGGAAGTTCAAGTCGCCACATGTATGCTGATATAGCGCTTAAGTACCTCTACAGTTACTAACTGTACCTCACAGTTTGGTAGGTGTCACAACAAAATTTATAGGTGGAATTACTAGTGAATAATATTAGCGACATAAGTCTCCACTTACTACTGCACAAGTCATCACCTTAGTCGTTTTAGTATTTGTTGAGGAGTTTATGATATGTGACATTTAAGTGATTATAATAGTCTCTTTTCTTTTTGCCGTTCCTTGCGTTAATGATAGGCTTTATTTGAAGAAATATAATCAATATACTTTGAGGTTTCATACGTGTTAGCAACTATGGATAATTGTAAGCGTAGTCTTATGTGTTAAACAATGAAATTAGAGGTTGGGATCTCAAGCGAATTAGTAAATATCAATCAATTTATTGTATATCAGCTGTTAGAAGGATGCAGAACAACTACAGAATGAGCAGTTGACTGACAAAACAGCTACTCGAAGTATCTGAACAGTCACGACTAGTTACTGAGGTCAGTTAGTTTTCTGTTCAGTAATAAGTATAGTTCACATCATTTTTAAAATTGATTTGTGCTTTATCGCTATCAGCATTCAGCACATTTCTTATTAAAACATAAACTTGGTGGATTACGGCTGTCAAGAGATGCTCCACACAAAATCTCTTATTTTAAGCTTGGGCTGAGATACCGATCGAATACCCAGACCAAAGCGAGGGGTGTCTTATGGATCCGCTCTTGGAGCCTTTAACTTGAAGTTGGGTTCACAGGACAATGGAGCTGCGATCTTATCGTTATCGGTGGCCAAAACAAGTTCATATTCCATTCGATCCCTTCGGATGCTGGGACTTATGTACACCATAGGTTTGGAATCAGGGTTTTCCAGCTCCCCTTGGTAGACCAGCATATCGATCAGTCTGATTTTAGGCACCGAACGTTCTCATTCACTCCTTCACTTTTGTAAGAAACAACCCCGCTGCATGAAGGCAATTAGTAGTATTTACCTGACTGAGGCCATGAACATGTGGTCAAATGCGAGTATTCCGGCAAGAAAACAGAAGTCTACCCCCCTCCTCCCTGCTTCGGTCTTACCAGTCGTTTATGAAGGAGTTCAGCACGAGAAACGTGACACTACAAATAAAGTCAGTAGTCCGAAAACCTACACTGTCTACTAAAAATCACTCGATAACATTTTGGCATCCATTCATCACTAATTTAGTTACGCAGCATGTCGATAAACCTTTTAAAACCTGTCACTTATTATCGTGGTAATTTTTAAAGGGTATGATGAAATCTACAGTCTCACAAGTTAATGTGTTAACTTAGAGGACTTTGGAAACATTTATTTCCCGATACAAATATAAAACAAGCAACAAAGTTTAATATAGCAGGACGATGTATTCATCAAATTCCGGTAGGAATCTTCAGCTGAATACTCTATATACGCGGATATTATATGCCATTAGAATTATATTGCTAGATATAAGACTGATAAGCAAATAAACTACATTGAATCAATCATGCAGAACGACAGGTGTGAATGATTCTCAGGTCATGTTCAAATAGATAGGGGGAAGGGAGTGTGAGAGATTAAAATTAAGATGAAAATACATTACAGTTCAATTACAGCACTTAGACAAACAATTGTCACAGAAAGAACTTGAATATATCAAGGGTCTTGAAAAAACTTAATCCTACGGTTATAAGGTACCCTTAAGTTTTAGTGAATGAATAGTTTCCCTATTTAAAATGTTTCCATTTAACGATTATTGTTTAGGTCTTCACGCATTCGATGAATTGAAGAACGAATCATGTGGTTATCTGGCACAGTATAGTTGGAAGGCAATCATTATCGCTGAATGTTTATTATTCCTATTTTTACCAAATAAAAAGTTACTTCTAAGGAAATAAGTACATTTTCAGGTAAAATGAGAGAAGCATTTGATCAATTTCGATCTTATTAAGCAGAAAGTCGTTTGGGACAAACGGGGAGGGCGTAGTAGCTGAATATGTTCTCTTCATTGAAGCGATTAATCTGCACTCTAATCTGCCATCACTGTTAACACTCTTGAAAGCAAGCTAAAGTATGACAATCTTTTGTTCGACTATGTTGCACTCCACTTTTTTTATTCTAGGTTTCCAATGTTTGTTAGTAAACTTCTGCAAATAAATGTTATCACTCAGGCATTTCATCAGAGTGGATAATTCTTCATCAAGTTTGACTTCTGAGTAATGTTTTATGGAACTAGTGAAGCGTATTCTAACCAATCTACTTTGTAATTTTTAAGACTAAAGCTTTTGAAATTCGGATTAGGTGCCTTCCATGGCTGTCTTATGAATGTATCACAGGATTTTACCATATGCTTCACTTTGGATACTAAGATAAAGAATAGGATATCTGTTACTACGCGCAATCTCTATCGTCAACTTCATGTCAGAGTGTTTACTACTGAAGAGATCTAATGTATGCGAAGTATCATTCAAAGCATTGTAAATGGCAAAGGCGTCGTCAACATACCTGCCACAGAAGTCTGTCTATCCCACTTATCGAGGCCTTCATTTTTGTCTGCTACAGTATGCGCATAAAATGTGCTCCAGGATTGGACACAGTCGGCTGACCATACAAACTTCATCAATCTGACGACTCACGATAATATTGGAGTGGAACTGTGAGTTATCTGTACATAGGGGTAGACTCTGTTTCAGTTCATTCTTTGGCAAGGGGAGAAGATCAGAATGCTGGCATATAATTCACATATAGTCTTCTAACACTATCTTTGTAAATAAGGACGATACAACAAACAGAAGTATAAATTTATCCTGTATGTTCACAATTCAATCACATTTGAGAATATATATATATATATATATATATATATATATATATGGTTTCATTTCATCAGAGGATAAGAAAACCAAATATTAAAGTTGTGAGTCACAAATCATATGGACTTGCTATTATCCTGTATGATGATAACAATCAAACATTTCACCTAAAAGCTGATTTGTGATTGGTTATATTTCAACCACCAATAAGAATAAAGAGAAATAAATGTAGTTTCATCGAAAATAGGCAAAACAAACTGCTCAAAATAGTTTGTCATATTTGAAAGTCACACTAGATACATTGATAAGAATGACTGGAATAGGATATTTCTGGTTAAACATAAGTTTCATCGCTTTTACGTCATTACTAGTTACATGTACAACTACATATGTTCAACAAAATATATCTGGAAGTACACCTAACTGTCAGCTACAGTTAGAATGTATTGGGGCTAGTTCATCTGGATTCGGCCGGGTACGTATACCAGTAAGGTCAGCTAGAGGACCTCCTGGACCTGCAGGACAACAAGGAAAAACTGGACCACCTGGTCCTCGTGGAGAAACAAGTAAGAGCAGTCATTTTCGTTTAGTAAGAACTTAAATAGCTAATTAATTTATTTACTACTTAAAATGCTGTGCTAGAAATGTAATTCTGACGAAGTGGTTAAATATGTTTCCATTTTTCTGTATTAAAAAGTTGTGATCCAAGAAATAAGTTTATTTTCTAACATACACCGATATTCTCCTAGAATCACAAGGTTTTGTTATAAATATTTCAGTTAAGAAGACTTCATTTTATTTAGAAAAATGAACATAGAGTTATTAGCTTAGCATACCTTTAAAGAAATGTAGGTATTGAGTTGTTCATTAAAATTATGTGTAAAGATAGCAAATGCTACTGAAATGAAATCATATCGAGAAGAACAGGTGACATGTTGCAAAAACAGTTAAGTGGTTCGCTTTTCAGATGAAACAGTGCCTAAAGCGGAGTACACCGTGTTTCACAAAGAAGTGAGTGACAATACTAGAAACACATACAGAATATTGCTTATTACAGTATTCAATTCTTTAATGAAGACAAAGGAGTTAACCATAGCATTAGTCACATAAGTTAATTGGCCAAGTTAAACTTGAAGCACCAGTAGACACCAAAGGATATATGAGCTTGAACACCCCAACCACATGTTAAAGGCGATTTTTGCGTGTTTTTTTCCTTCACGTTCCCCAGTGGAACATAGGGCTTCAAGCTAATGGCTTGAAGTTTCTGTAGCAGTGTTTATTTTACAGGATGTGGTTGCTAGCCTCATACTCAACCTTTCCTCTATACCAGCATTATTTCTGGCTTAGAGAGGTAAAGGAGTGTGTCAGCCGGTGATCGAACCCCGGACCATGTGCATGGTCGGCGAGTGTCCTAACCGCTATACCACATATATGTGTATTCATGTAAATAATGAATTAAAAGGCATGAAACTGTTGCACAAGGTACCATTTTCCAAAGTGTAACAAAAATTTCTATCAGTTTTGGGTTGGAGTGGCAACAGAGTAGTTTAACCACACTCTAAACATATAATTATCTAGATCTTCTAACCTTAACAATAACCCTAATCTTTCCCTAACCTAACCCTAACCTGAAAATATCCCTAAACTAACCCTATTCTAACTCAAACCAACCCTAATATCGCTCTTGTTAGGTTGACCTAATCCTAACTTGTCCTTGGCTTAAAGTGTAACTTATTCTTTACCAAACCTAGCCTGAAGCTCACTAGACAACCCATTTAATAAATAACACATCAGTAAGCATATTTTATTTACGATTGCAACATTATTTGCCAGATCTCGCTAACCTGCTCAGTGATCGTTTCAAGGTCAATGCCGCGAGCGCACTCCATTGGTACTTACTGGCGCCTAAAGTTTAACTTAGCAAGTTAACTGTTCCTCTGATGAAAAAGAAGAAAAATCCAATTACTTTATGCATAATGTAATGAGGAGATAAGCTTACAAATACTTATCAATACAACCATGGCAGTGAAAAATATGGTCAAATATTAAAACTCCGATAGTATCAGACAGTTTTTATTTTTATTTTAAGCTACAAATTTTCTGCATTATATCTTAGTATAGTCTTTGTTTACTTAAAAGTAGTTATCGACCAAATGGTTATCATCGTTAGTGATTTCATCTTTACTACTGTCGAAGGTTATTCGGTCACTAGCTGAGTAAAACAATACCATATTTTCTATGGGCTATTTACTTACAAACAGTATAAGAAAAAAATATGATCAATAATTTATTAATTTGAATGAATATCTTTCACAGTATTCGCAACAAAAATGAAAATGAAATATAATTACAGTCTATAGAGTACATAAGACACTGAATAATATAGAGAATAGGTAAACGGTGTCTTCTGAAGTGCATTTAAAGAAATTTTTGTCTCTTTGTATTACTTTGTTTGGTCGATGGAATGTGAAAGTTGTATCATGATCACTACTGATTTCAATTCTGAAGTACAAAATTAGTTGTCTGAGGTCACTGAATAACGTGATCTCCAGGATCGTATTCATAAAGTCATGATGTACCAGAAGATGCTGACTTAATACATTTATCGTTTATCCAGTTATGCCACCTCATGAGTTGTTCATTTGTGCATCAGTTACAACCAATTCTACGTTCAGTTAACAATGAATAGTATACTTCCATTGGGAAGATTCAACGTTGGAACAGATCATTTAATTACAATGTCAACACTGGATCTAAACTTCTCCAATAGTGATAACAACAATCACACACACAAAGATGTCGAAAACTCATAGTATTGAGAAGATATATTTCACAGGGGTAAAGCAGAATATCACGCATTAGTCTTAAACCATAATTTAGTCGAACAAATTAACATCTTGACGTCACCTGAGGTGATTTAATTCGCGTATGCTATTATGAGTGTCATTATGCAATTAGAAATCTCATTTTGAATACAAATTAAAAACTTACAAACTTTTCGACTACTAATTACGATTATTTTTATGAGAGTGACTATAGATACAAGCTCCTGTTAGCTAGCAAAAGTACTTTTTTTATAGACTTGCATTCATTCGGACTTCGTATTCTTCGGCGACCTAGTGTTCAGAACTTATCCAACTTCGTATGGAGAATTTATGCGTAAATAGTACTGCATTAAGAAGATGAGAAGTCGTACTGTATTACTTGTTTGACGGGGTTCATCAGTGTAAATGATTCTAAGAAAAAATATGTCATCTAATCAAATGGGCAAAGTTCAACAAAAGCGTCCCAGTAGTGCGAACTCACGAGTGGCCTTCAGCTGACCATTCATAAAAATGAGGAATGTTTGCTCAAAAAATGATGTATATTGACAAGAAAATGCATTAAACAGATTATCTTTCTCTGACATGGCTTAAAAATACGTCCTAGTTACAACGAGGAGTATCAGTTGCTAAGTTAGACTAATTTCTGTACATGTATTCAGCGAAATGACTAAGGATGAACGGTTTTTGTGAATCGTTTATCTTTATCACCCTGCTTGCAGTCTTCCAAAACAACCCTCAGTAGAATTATTGTGGTTTTCAGTAAGAAGATAGACGACTACTTATCAGGAAAACGTGGATAATAAAACAAATTAAAATAAATGACATCAACTATAAACCTATCTGTAATCGTAACCATAAGCTTAATCCTGACTCTAACACTAACCCTAACCTTAATCCTGACCCGTAATTCTAGCCATAATGCTAATTATAACCCTGATCCTAATCCTTACCCTAACAAGCTATTAACACATTGTCCAAAAAGTACTTAAAAACGTAATCTGAGTGAAATTCGCTCCTAAGTTGGTAAGTAGCGTTGATATTTCAGCTATGATAATCACAGATGCCTTTAGCCAACAACTAGCATGCGTTCAAGGTCATTGGAGCGTTCACATTCCTGGGACGCGATTGTTGAACTTCACCAACAAATGCTCACTATCACTTAATCTAAAAGTCTATTGGTAAACCTCAATAGAAAAAACAAATCTCAGATTGCATATGCCATAAAAATATAACTGTATTTTGCTTATTTAAACTTCTTTGAGGAATACAGGTCAATAATTTATTGGTGACGATTGAAGTACTGGTAAATAAAACAATTCATCATTTTACTTCTTCTTTTGGAACATAACTACTAATAATAACTAATCTGTGTTCATTGGGGCGTGGTGCTAGCAACTCCACCCCTGTAAAACAACCAAATCGCTACAGAAACTTCAACGAATAAATATATTAAAAATTCTAAAAACATAAGCAATAGCCTTACTTTTCGCTGGAATCGGGGAAGTGAAATGACGCAGGCTGGTGAAAGCCTTCGGGAAGCCAGTCAGCCGATGTGCCTTCTTTCGATGAAAGCAAAAGTAAGGATGGGTACCTGGAATGTTCGCACAATGTACGAAACTGGAAAGGCTGCCCAGATAGCCGCTGAAATGAGAAGGTACAGAATAGAAGTGTTGGGAATCTGCGAGAGCAGATGGAACGGAACTGGAAGGTGCCAACTACCTACTGGAGAGACAGTAATCTATTCCGGCCACCCAGAGGACAACCACGAGCACACCGAGGGAGTGGCCATCATGATGTCACCAACAGCAACCAAAGCTCTCATGCAGTGGGAACCAATCTCCTCCAGGATAATGACAGCCAGGTTCAACTCAAAAGGAAGGAAAGTTACAGTCATTCAATGCTGTGCGCCTACAAACGTCTCAGAACAAGAGAAGAAGGAGGCGTTCTACAGACAACTACAAGCAATAATGGACAACGTCCCAAATGGCGATATCAAAATCCTGATGGGCGACATGAATGCGAAGCTGGGAAGAGACAACACAGAAAGAGAACTCACCATGGGTCGTGAGGCCCTCGGTGAAATGAACGACAATGGTGAACTCTTCTCAGACTTCTGCGCCTTCAATGATTTGGTGATTGGTGGTAGTGTGTTCAAACACAAGGATATACACAAGACGACATGGATTTCACCAGATGGAAACACCAAGAATCAAATAGACTTCATCTCAATTTCAAGAAAGTGGAGACGGAGCCTACTGGACACAAGGTCAAGGAGAGGAGCAGATGTGGGTTCAGACCACTATCTAGTAGAAGGGACTTTCAAGGTGAAACTAAAAGCCTCGAGGATAGCTGGGGATAGGCCACAATGCAAGTTCAACACTCAATTACTGAAGGACACAACCACAAAAGACACCTTCACTGCAACTGTCAGAGCAAAGCAGGAAACACTACGCGACAGCACTGAAGAATCATGCGTGGAAGAACATTGGAAGTCTCTGAAGGCGATTCTCAACGAAACGTGTTCAACGGTTCTAGGAAGAAAGAAGAGACAAGACAAGGAATGGCTCTCAACGGACACTTGGAAATTAATAGAAGAGAGGAGAATGGTGAAAGAGAAAATGATTCAATGCAAGGACGGACAGGAGAAGGAGACGATGAGCTCAACTTACAAAGCATTGGACAAAGAAGTGAAGAAAAGTGCTAGGAAGGACAAAAGACGATTCTACGACAATCTAGCTACT